GCCATACACAAAAATAAACTCAAAGTGGATTAAAGACCTAAATGTAAGGCCAGACACTATAAAACTCTTAGAGGAAAACGTAGGTAGAACACTCTATGACATAAATCACAGCAAGATCCTTTTTGACCCACCTCCTAGAGGAATGGAAATAAAAACAAAAATAAACAAATGTGACCTAATGAAACTTAAAACCTTTTGCACAGCAAAGGAATCCATAAACAAGATGAAAAGGCAACCCTCAGAATGGGAGAAAGTATTTGCAAACAAAGCAACTGACAAAGGATTAATTTCCAAAATATATAAGCAGTCCATGTAGCTCAATATCAAAAAAACAACCCAGTCCGAAAATGGGCAGAAGACCTAAATAGACATTTCTCCAAAGAAGATATACAGATTGCCAACAAACACATGAAAGAATGTTCAACATCACTAATCATTAGAGAAATGCAAATCAAAACTACAATGAGGTATCACCTCATACCAGTCAGAATGGCCATCATCAAAAAAGTCTATAAACAATGAATGCTGGAGAGGGTGTGGAGGAAAGGGAACCCTCTTGCACTGTTCGTAGGAATGTAAATTGATACAGCCACTATGGAGAACAGTATGGAGGTTCCTTAAAAAGCTAAAAATAGAATTACCATATGACCCAGCAATCCCACTACTGGGCATATACCCTGAGAAAACCATAATTCAAAAAGAGTCATGTACCACAATGTTCATTGCAGCTCTATTTACAATACCCAGGACATGGAAGCAACCCAAATGTCCATTGACAGATTAATGGATAAAGAAGATGTGGCACATATATACAATGGAATATTACTCAGCATAAAAAGAAATGAAATTAAGTTATTTGTAGTGAGGTGGATGGACCTAGAGTCTGTCATACACAGTGAAGTCAGAAAGAGAAAAACAAATACTGTATGCTAACACATATATATGGAATCTAAAAAAAAAAAAGGTTCTGAAGAACGTAGGGGCAGGACAGGAATAAAGACACAGATGTTGAGAATGGGCTTGAGGACACAGGGAGGGGGAAGGGTAAGCTGGGACGAAGTGAGAGAGTGGCATGGGCTTACATATACTGCGAAATGTAAAATAGATAGCTAGTGGGAAGCAGCCACACAGCACAGGGAGATCAGCGCGGTGCTTTGTGACCACCTAGAGGGGTGGGATAGGGAGGGTAGGAGGGAGATGCAAGAGGGAGGGGATATGGGGATATATGTATATGTGTAGCTGATTCACTTTGTTATACAGCAGAAACGAACACACCATTGTAAAGCAGTTATACTCCAATAAAGATGTTAAACAGAAAAACAAACAAAAACAATGCCAACTTATGGCCCTATCCCAGATCTGCTGAATGAGCATCTCTGAGGCCTGGGTCTGGGATTCTGCCATTTTATCAGGAATCCCGAATGGAATTTAAAACAAGTTTTAGATCCCCTGGTCTACAGAGCTGGGTAAATACTTAAATTCTACATTTACGTTACAATGACAGTGAATATTCCTTTTTTTAAAAAGTAGCTCCTCTGCTTCCTTTTAAGTGGTGTGCAGTTTATGGAGATTTTATTTATGCCCAACTTTCAGTGATACGTCTGTTGCTGAAATAAGTTATGCTGGGCTTGAGGTTGATAGATAGGAACTAAATGTCTCTACCTGGTATTCCCAAGAAGCCTCAGATATTCTAGAATTTGGATTCGGTACCAACTTTGGTCTTTGTCTTGCATTTCTTAGGTTTCATAGGAATGAACAGTACAAGTCACTGAGCCACACAACAATGTCAGGGACTGCCATGGCTCTTGGGTGCCCTGTCCTTCAGAATCTGGCTCCATAGGCACAGGAGCTGGAACTTGGGGAAGCTGGGTAGCCCAGAGAACAGAGGTTCATGTGCATGACCATCCCCCTGATTTCTTACCTCTAACTGTGCCATAAGATGATTGAGAATAGCCTTGACCAGTGAAGGAAGCTCTAAATTACTTCATTTAATGAAGTATGGATCAAGCAGAAGATAAGGTACTTATCAGTGTGCTGTGGAGTTTGGAATAATTAAAGTTAGATCTTCTTAAAGTCCTTATGCCCATGAAATGGAATCTAGGTTTTAATAACTTAAGTTGTTAATCAATTAATTAACTTAGGGGAGATTTATTTTATTATACCTTTGTGGACAGTGTCATGTTTTCTCAGGCTCTGTGAATAACCACTGTCAATTAATTTATTTAATTGATTTAACCACTGTGTTCATTAATTTATTTGACATTCATTTGTCACCCTCCTGTGTCCTGGTGCTATATTCTTGGGTTACAGATATGTGTAAGTCATTTTTCTTGCTCTCAAGGAGGGCATGGCCTAGTGGGGAAATACACAACCAATCAATGGTGAGTGATGGTGGAGGCTCGTATATTGCTGTAGCAACGAAGTGGATGGTGCAGTTCCGCGGGAGCATACGGGAAGGGGGCGTTGACCTGCAAGGCTTCTCTGTGGAGAAGGCTAAGTAGATCTTTTAAGAATAAGCAGGAGTTCACCGAGCAGATTGCGGGGGGAGAGGGCATTCTGGGCATAAACATTAGCAAATGCAATTACATGGAAGTATGGAAAAGTATGGCATGTTTGACTTGCACGTGGGAGAGTAACAGCAATACCCTTTCGCAAGCAGCATTTAAGGGGACTTGCCGTGAGAAGAAATGTGTTTGTTACAGTGTCTTCAGATTTTTATCTTTTATTGTGGTAAAATATACATTACATGAAATTTTCCACTTCAGCCATTCTTAAATGTACAGTTCTGTGACACCTACATACAGCATTTATATTGCTGTGCAGCCATCACCACTGTCCGTCTCCAGATCTTTTCATCTTCCAAAACTGAAAATCTGTACTCATTAAATGCTAACTCCTCACTCTGTCCCCTCCCCGAGCCCCTGAAGACACCATTCTGCTTTCTGTCTCTGAATCTGACTGTTCTTAGGTACCTCATGTAAGTGGAATCATGCAGTATTTGTCTGTTTGTTCCAGCTTAACATAAACATCACTTAGCATAATGTCTTCAAGCTACATCCGTGTTGTAGCACGCGTCAGAATCTCCTTTCTAAGGCTGAGTAAATCCTATTATATGTCTCTAACACATTTTGTTTATCTGTTCGTCCATCAGTGGACACTGGAGTTGCCTCCACCTTTGGGCTGTTGTGAATATGCTCTGAATATGGACGTACTCAGATTTTGTATCTTATTACCTAAGCTGTTAAACTTTCAAATGTTAAGTGCAAAATGATTTCCTACAAGCCCTTGATAAGACAGTGCCTTTGGTTGAGGTGCTTACAGTTTTGTTGTGGAGATGTGTTGGCACTCTTGAAAACAAGACTGTGGGCGGAATATGATTAAAATACCCAATGGCACTAGTAGAATTCACTTTTAAATTTCCTGTGATCATGAACAGGAAGCAAAGCCTCCAAAGACTTACTCTGGAAAGGTGGTGAACACAGCTGATTATAAGCCGAGGACTTACCCAGCAAGAGCATCACTATCTGTGTTTGCAAACTAAATCTCCTCTCTTGGTAAAGTAGCCTCTGAGCATCTTGATTCATAACTAAGCATTGTGGGGACAGTGGGAAGGAGCTAGGCAAAAGAAATTTTATGGAGACGCGTGAGAGGACCAGCTTCCTACATAGCTGGTGAGAGAGTGCGATCACTCGGTAAGTTGTTTGTAGACAAGGTAATTGAGGAACCAAGGATCCTTATTTTTAAAAAAAACTAGACTCTTCAGGGAGCTAGACATTATTGTGAAAATAGACTGTTAAGAGGGTGTGTGTGTGTGTGTGTGCGCGCGCGTGCGCACGTGCGTGTGTGTATACAGCCCCAACCTTCCTGACTACTAAGAAAGTGATTCTGTTACTTCTATTTCTGCAGTACAGCCTCAAGCCCAGGGCTGGGCCAGTCCCTTCATTAACTCACTCCCCTGTTACAGACCTCCTGCTTCCCCTTCTTGGACACCCTGTGGCTGAAACTGGAGACACGCAAGATTAGGAGGTAGTTCTGGGAGTTGGGGACAGGGAAGCATTGGGGTATCAGAGATATCCTGTTCTGTTGGCAGCTCTCTGACTTCCCGCCAGTGTTCTGGTTGAGTGTTTACTCCTGGCTCCTGCTGGATCTGAACCCCTCCCTCTACCCAGTTTCCCCTTCATGGGCCTCACTGGTTGGCACAGCACTCTAAGTACCAGGGCTGCTATTCCCATGCAGGGTCCCAAGGCTCTGTTTATGAACCCTAGACATTTGGTCTTTCTAGTCAGTGGTTAGTGTTCCGGGGCTTGTATTGTTTTGTTCCCTACAAGGTCAGGTCCTGTAAGGCTAATCTGTCCTTGCTGGTGGGGCTCTGACTAGCAAAGCAAATATATCAGGTCAGTCTGGCCATGTTGGGGGAAGAGCCAGGCCTGTTGGCACAGACTCCAGAGCTGGCATGGGCTTTGTGGGAGGCGGGCCTGGGCCACAGACGGTGGCATCAGCAGTCCTGTTTGTTCTTCAGCCCCTAGCAAAGCCTGGGCAGACTAGATTCCTATCCTGAGGAACACAGATGCTTCCTCCTGGGCCCGCCTGCCCCTCGGAGCAGCACAGTCTGGTAAAAAGGAGGGCTTGTCTCTGTGAGCCTCTTTTCTCTGTTCTAGTCTCTCCCGACATCTCCTCTGTTCCAAATCTATTTTCCATCCCCACAGTAAGCACAATAACATGGTTGTCCAAGTGAAATATAATTGCCATATAAATGAATGGTTTTATGATAATAAAGATTTAAACCTTTTCAGAAACTTGATTTCATTTCCCTAGTTTTCAACAAAACTACCATTTGAGTACCTATTCTTCAGTTGGAAAGGGTTTGGGACATCTGACCACCAGACAGGTGGAGTAGGTGCAAAGTGTGTCGAACCTAAGAGCCTTCTAAGCAGCAGTCAGGTAGTACATACTGGCAGCTGTAACAGGGGCTAGAAGCCTATTTCATGCCTCTTCTGCCCTCTTCATTTTGAAGCACTCCAGAGAGCCTTCCACCAGCTGTTGTAAGGCGGAGCACCTGTATTGTCACTGTCACTGAGATTATAATGCAATCGTTTGGTCATGCTTCTCACAGTAACGTGTAGTTACGGTGCCCCACACACCATAGAAGAGACGCCTGGGAGTATGTGCACAGTGATCGAATTAGAGGCTGTTTTCCAGTTCCAGCTAAAAGAGAATGTTGAGCTGCATTTTGAGTTCTTAAGATCAGGGTATTACAGGCATGGCCAACGCTGTCAAAACACGAACTGTGGAAATAGTTCAGGTTTCAGATACACAAGCAAGGAGCTGGTTGGGCGTCTCTTGCGAGCCTTGGGTCGGGGGATACCGATTTTAAAAAGATCCCAGAGAGAATGAAACCAATAGGGTGGTGGACCAAACAAGAAAGAGATACGACCAGCTACCAGATTTTCCTGGAAATATAAGACATTTAAGGGTCTGGTTTAGCAGGCAATATGCTCTCTGAAACCAGGGCTGGGAGGTGACATCCTGCCCTGCAGAGGTAGGTACTTAGTATTCACTGCTTTGACTTTTTTTGCTGGAAAAAGGGAAGAAGGAAGTGCGTGGAGCTTGTGAGAGTGACGTGCTGGAAGAGAGCAAAGACAATAAAACAGGCAAGGATTGACCTGTCTAGGGCAGGTTTTATCCACCTCCGGTGTTTCCTGGACTCTTAAGCCCTTGTCTCCCCCCTGAGTTCATCAAAACACACCTCTCTGCCCTCCTTCGACCGGCAGGAGCAGCTATGATTTTAGTGATTTGTCCCTAAGGGAGGCACAGCTGAAAGACTGTGTTCATTGAAAGCCTGTGAGCAGAGGTAAATGCAGGTGAGGTCAGGAAATGGAGCTGGTTCACCTCTCCCAGCAGGCACAAGGCCAAAGTCAGCCAACTGACAGATCCTCATGCTAGCTCTCCCACCCAGAGGTAATTTCAGTTCATCTAGAGGTGCACCTGAGCAGAATGCTGCAGTCAGGGGACACACCGCAAATCGTAGCCGTGTCCTGAAGTGCATGCCAGTCACACAACTCTAGCCTTCACCAGCTTACAACCGTTGACCTAGAGAGAAGTTTGTTACGTGGCCGAGGCCCTCTTATAAGCCAGACTCCAGTACAGATAGCACTTCTCCCCATCCTGTCAGATACACTTGCTCTCTTTTATTGTATTACTCTTAATTGGCTTTGGGTTCCCAGACTCTGAGGCAGAGTCTGAAGCTGAAGTTTTCTTCTCTTTCTCCTATGTGTCTGCTGCTCCGGTTTGCTCTTCTTTCAGGATCGCTGGTAAAAAGGACAGCTGTTGGCAGGATAGAGTGATGGGGAGGCAGGGAGAAGTGACTACCAGACTGGGGAGTGATGTATGTTGCCATCACCTGGAAACTCAGATCAGCAGTAAACCAGAACCTGCCCTGACGATGTAAAGAAAAACGTTTCACCTCAGTTAGCTAGGTCATGTCCTTGTCTCTAAGAAGCTGACAGCCAGTGGGCATCAGCAGTAACTCTGCAACAGAATAAGAAAATGAGTTGAGACCTCAGTGGAAGGGCTAGAATACAGACACGGTAAGAAGCTCTAATCTGAGTTCTTAAAATCAGAGTATTAAATGGCATGGCCAAGGGAAAGTTCTGGATTTCTCGTGAGACTTTCAAAGTAGGTTATGTTTTCATCTTGTTAGGGTGGATTAGGTTCATATCTGTCAAAATAACCAAGTAGAAATAGTTAGGTTTTAGATGTCCAGGCAAGGAGCTGGACGCCTTACTAAATAAGCTTGGGTGGTGGCATGGTGGGAAAGGGTTTTGAGTATAAAGGGTCCCAGAGAAGAGAGCCTGTAGGTTGGAGTAGAGATTTTGGCCCCGGGTCTTGTATTGTTATTGTTTTAATCTGTAGGCCAGATCTTTGATTAGAGAGCGTGGCAGGTTAGTTTGCTAGGTGGTGATACCAAGACGGGAACCAGATGGAAATGGGTAAGCGCTCAGAATGAAGTTCAGTGAGGAAAGTGTAGAATTATTCCACCATTCTGAATATCTGCACAAACCTAAGAAGTGGCTGTGAGTGAGCAAATGGGATAGAAAAGTATCTGGGATTGAGGACGAGAGCCAGCATCCCTCAGCAGTGTGGTTGTGGTTGAAGCAGGCCTATTCAGGATTGCAAATAGAAATTTAGAATATAGGGTTTGTAAGGCAATGCCCTCCCTTATAACTCTCATTAGTCAGATCCTTTCTAGAATACTCTCTAGAACATTTTAGGTTAATGGGGCTATGGGTGGATTTGGAGACTGACCTACAGATAAAGGAATTCGGGACTTGAACTTGCAGAGAATAACTTAGATATCATAATGATCTTTAAGTATGTAAAATCCCTGATTTGAAGATGGGTGCCAGCTCTTCCTAACCTTCACTGAGGTTGGAATAGAGCCCCAGCAGCATTTGGGTAGACACGAGGAAAACTTGCCCGCCAACGCAAGTCATTAAATGTCAGAATGAGTTATTGAGAGAAGGTTCTGGATTTCTCATGAGGTTGTCAAAGTAGGCTCTGTTTCCATCTTGATAGAATGGATCAGGTCCATTCCCATGGCCCTACCTGATAGCTGAGTGGTGAAACCAGTGACCATTCAGAGTCCCTGTTCCAACCCAAATATTGCCGAGCCCCTGCCTACAGACATCTGCCTGCTTTTACATCCCCTGAGGTGCTTGATGCCCCCAGAAACGGCATCAGCCCCCTAGACCCATCTGTGGCCCCCTTTTCCAGGTCATGAGCTCTCTGGGGCTGTGCAGATGCACTGATCTAACTGGATTGTGCCCTTTGTTCTCTTCTCACTTGCAGTATGAGTTTAAAGCCAAAAACATCAAGAAGAAGAAGGTGAGCATTATGGTTTCAGTGGATGGAGTGAAAGTGATTCTGAAGAAGAAGAAGAAGGTAAGTGACTCTGAGCCACAAACTCTGGTGAAGAGGGAAGGAGGGGAGGTAGGCATGGGATAGCTTTTCTTTCTAGGCTACCTTCTGGACACACTCCTTCCCTTATCTGGTGAGGTGGTCTGCTTTGACCAGCAACAGTGTTGAGAGGCTACAGCTGGAGCAAAGGGTGAGGCAGGGGCCCAAGGCCTAGTCAGCTGTTCGGCTTGCTCAGTCCTCGTATCCCATGAGTGACAAGGGTCATCTCCTGTCATCCTGGCATTCATACCCCTTCCCCCATTTGATACCTTTGCCTTTGAGTCTTGATCTTGGGAAATGCTTTAAATTCAAGTGTGGACAAGTAGCAGGATTCAGTGGGGGAGGGGATAAGAGGCGACTTCCTCAGAAGTTGTCCCATTCTGTTGCAGGAATAACTCTCAGTTCCAGCTGAGGTGGCGTCCGGCCCCGTGGTGTGTCCTTGTGTCCTCTTGTTACAGTTATTGCTGCTTTAGCCCATCTATTTAAATAGTCCCTCAAGACCCAGCCACTGCTGCTATTCAGCCTGCAGGAAGGCTAGAGCGTGGCCAGCATGTTGCTTTTCACTGGGTCAGTGTGGCACGCTGGAAGGAGCCCTCAGCTGAGAGGAGAAGACCTGGGTTGTAGTCCTGGCGCTTCTTTTTCTGACTGTGTGGTTCTAAGCAAGTTATTTTGCTTTTTGGAGCTTCAATTATAAAATGAAGAGTTGGATTAGATGAGCACTTTACCCTTGTCAGATCAATTATTCTGCACCAGCTCTGGCACCGTGCTTTTCGGTGCTTGCATGTGTTTGTATAGGTCACCTGTGCTTATTCAGGTTTTTGAGAACCTTCTGGGCTACAGAGAAAGCAGACCCTAGAGGCCAAATAGGTTTGTGTGTTTCTGCCCCCTGAACTCCTGAGGCAGGATGGGAACCTCAGAGGTTAAACACTTCCCAAAGCAGCCACCAAGCCCCCTCTGTTTGCCTAGCCTGTCCATGACTGTTGAATGGTGGTATGCCTCCGGGCTGTGGGGAGAAGCATGTTTACAGGGACTCCCTGCTCTCCAGAGAATGTTTTAAGGGCAGGGGCCATCTCTGTAAGCTCAGCACTCACTTGGACACCTGGTACGTGTAGTGTGTTTCCAACGATTTTGGCTGTTGGCTAGCTGGGTAAATGAACATGTTTTGTGTATCATGGTCATTAAATCAGGAAGAACTAAGTACTTAGCAGTTGGGTCAAATGAAGTCTCATTTGTTACTTTTGGCTATCACATTCTTCTCCCTCTTTCTCGTCTGTCAACCTTCCCATTTAAAAAAAAAAAAAACAAGGATGAGAGCCTTCCCAAGCGTAGAGAGGCCTCGGTGGAAATTGCTAACTTTATGAGTGGGACTTCTTCAGTACCTCTGATCTTCAGGTGCTCTATTCTAATGCAGGCAGTAGCCAAGTATATTGTGATCATCTCTTACTGAGATGTAAAAAAAAAATCTTTTTGGTTATATTAATGTGTCTAAAATGCTGTTATCTTTTTTTTTTTTTTTTTTTGCGGTACGTGGGTCTCTCACTGTTGTGGCCTCTCCCGTTGCGGAGCACAGGCTCCGGCCGCGCAGGCTCAGCAGCCATGGCTCACGGGCCCAGCCGCTCCGCGGCACGTGGGATCTTCCCGGACCGGGGCACGAACCCGCGTCCCCTGCATCGGCAGGCGAACTCTCAACCACCGCGCCACCAGGGAAGCCCTAAAACGCTGTTATCTTGAACTGATGCTAACAGATAATGAATCTCAAATTCCCATATGAATCTTAGGTTGTATTTGTGGTGTGAACCCAGCTGCTAAGAAAATTGGCTTTGCTTTGTTGTTTCTCAATCAGTATATTTTCTTCAACTCCCAACTAGGCCCAAGTAACGCTCTTTCCTGTGTATATGGTAATGATTATTTATTATAGTATTGGAATCACACTCTTGCACCATTTGCTAGGGAGGGGCTTCTGAATAAGGAAGATTAGTCTTGAACTTCATCCAAAGGAGTTTTCTACAAAAGGACCCTAAAGGGCCTCTGTTTCTTGTGGTTTCTCATATACACCAGTAACTTTGTTGGGATAGCCTAAAGCATTGTTCTAGAAAGGCTCTGCTGTTCTCATTAACAAATATTTACTGTGTCAACCATGTTCAAGGAACTGGGTAGGATACACAGGGGTATTAGATATGGACCCTTTCCAGCAAAGTTAGCTATTTTGAATGACACTGTATGCATACATTGGTCTATCATAGCTCCTGTAGCATTGCATTGTAGTTATTTGTCTCTTTACCCCGTAGGCTGCGAGCCTTTGGGGCCAGGGACCATGTCTTCTTTCCAATTCTATTTCATCTGTTTGAGAGGGTAGAAGACCAGTGGGGGCAAGCTGATGAACGTAATTACACACTAAGATGGTACTGAGAACGGCTAACAATAATAGCTAACACTGATATTGAACCCCCGCCATTTACCAGCCTTGTTTGATGCAGTGTATACTTATTAGATCCACACAACCATCCTGTGAGGTAGGTACCATTTTAAGGCTTGGTTTGCAGAAGAAGATTAAGCACCTTGCCCAAGACCTCAAGTCCCACCAGTGGTGAAGTTGAGGTTTGAACCAGGTCTGTCTTGTTCACATCCCAAGTGGGTTCTTCCTACTACCATGTTGCTGTGTGTGTACTAAACTCTTCAGAATCCTTTAGAGAAAAACTGCTCCATAGGAAATGCCTAATTAATTAATCCAGTGTCTTTAACGTCTAGCCTTTACCCTGTCACTGGGATATCACATCACAAGGAAACTAGTTTCCTGCTCAAGGAGTACTGTTAGTTCCTATAGAAACACACAACTTAGATTTATTTGGGTAAGAAAAGGAGGCACTTAGAATTACAGAACCAGAATTTGGGAGAAAGAGCTTTAGGAATGCTCTAGTCTGATCCCCTAATTGACTAGATGTGGTAACAGAGGACAAGAGAGGCCCGGTAACGGTCCTGAGGTCACCCAGCTAGTTATGGAGCCAGGACTAAACTGAGTCCGGTCTTCTTTCTACCATGTTTTCTGCTAGTTTTAAAACAGGCATATTAGGAATTTTGTGCGTTGTGTGAGAACTTATTAAGTGCTTCAGTTTTGAAATGCGTTTTCTGTATCTATTAGGTTATACCTTAAGATGGGTGGTAGCTGTGTTTTCAGGCTAATCCTGTTCTGTCTGGAGGCATGGAGAACTTGCCAGGCTGAGTTAATGTGGCCTTTGCACGGTGATTTAAAAAATTTCTTCTTATTTTTTGAGAAGTCACCATTGCTTTCAGGAGCATAAATAATGGTAAAGCGGACAGACTCTGTGATGTGCTTACTGGTAGTTTCCAGTAGGGATAGGAAATAAATGGAAATACAAATTCTTCCTCTACTTTTGGGTTCCTAGGGAAGGCCTTCAAAAAATGCCATATCCATTTCTGGGTTCCAAACGGAGGAAGGAGCTCTGTGATAGTTATCCCTGACTCTGTTTTCTGTTCTTGGCCCTGTTCCAGGCAGACCTCCCTCTGAACCAGTTCTCATATAATATTCCCTGGCAGGAGATTTTGGAATAACAAAATGGCTGTCACTTTCCACGGGGGACTGGATATTTGCACTCATTAGATAAAGAAAAGAGAAGAATCTAAGCTCAAGGATGTGCTTACCTCATTCGGCGGTCTGATAAAAGCATACGCCGAAAGCCTGTTACCCTCTCCCTCTGTTGAAAGTGAAAAGCTTCCTGGCAGTGGAACGTGAAAACCTTTGAATTCATCACTTAGAGTGGCAAAGAGAACGTGGGGTCTAGAGGTAGACAGGTTGGACTTTAATTACCCCTGGACTAAATGGCCTTGCAGGGGAGCAAGTTAACTTCCCGAGCCTCATTGTTTGTCTGTAAAGTTGAGATGAATTTTGATAGTGTCAAGGAAGCAATATGTAAAGTTCTTAAATGGAAGAAGGGACTTTTTTTTCCCCCATATCAACTGGGAAATTTCCTGTGAGAACAAAAAGTGAAGCAGCTGAATATGACTTTCCTGTATCTTTCCTTTTTTTTTTTTACTTTCTCACTTTCTGTGTTATTCTAGGTCCTCCAACAAGTAAATGCCAAGACAGGATTAAATGCCTGTGGGAGGAGGTGGGGAGGCAAGGCTGGGCTAGCTGTCAGATTTCAGTGTGGGTCTGACTCCAAGTGAAGGAGAGAGGAAGGAAGGAAGCAGGTAGGTTGGGTAAAGGTCTCTGAGAGCACAGCACGGTCTGAGGAAGGTTTGGCAGGGCCGTCAGGGAGTTCTGAAGCCAGAGTCATCTGTCAGAGGATCCCTGTGTCTCCTAGGAATGGGCTTCCTCAGGATCCCCGCACACTGGTCATTGTCTGGGGGCAGGGCCGCTGCGCGCACGTAATGATGGGTTTCAGAATGCAGCAGCCGGGGCCCTTGGTTAGTTAAACTTCCTGTTAATTGGAGGTCTGTGGAGCACCTTCTTGTGATAACATCTCTTCTCCAGAAATTTTTTACTAGGCAATATATGAAGCAGAACCTTCTTTCAAGTGAAGCTACTCTCTACATCTCATGACTTTTTAATTACCTTGGAGTAAGGAATTCATTTTTAAAAGAGAAGAAAAAGGGGAGGGAAGGGGAGACTGCTGGGGTAGGGAAAGGCATGGAGAGAGACAGGTTAATAAACTAAGTCAGAGGCCTCTTAAAAGGCTCAACAGTGCCTTGAGTGTCCTTTGTAGGTACGGAGGGGACAAAGAGTAAGAGAAAGAAGTGATACCCCAATTCTGTATATGTATGGCAAAATGCCAGACAGCTGCCCCAAGGGCACCAGTCTGCTCCACTAGGTGCTCTGCCAGACCCACTCATATTTTTACCCCCTTTTCTTTATATTTATGGAGCTAGTGAGGAGGTAGATCTTGTCTCCCTGGGCCTCACTCATTGGCCTCAATGCTGGTACTGTTTGTGCTCCCAGTGATACCAGTGAGGCCCTGCCTGAGCCTGGGCTTCAGGTGCAAGGAGCCTGAAGACCAGCCTCGATCAGTCCTGCTGGTCCCCCTGGGCTGTTTGCAGTGAGTATGGCTGTGAAGGGTGCTCTTTCCCTCAGAAGCACTCAGAGAGGTGCTGACAGCTTTAAAGATGTATCCCCTCTTCCTTTCCTCTTCTCTTCCCCGCCTCCACCTCCTTTTCCACTCCCACTTGGACTTGAAATGTCTTCATTTCCTGGCATATGTTGGAGACCATAGCTCATTGAGGATAGTGGGTAGCAAAACTGAAAATTTCCTCACATAGCTACCAAGACTCCAAGGCTTATTTCCAAGCACTAAAAAAAAAAAGTGGTTTTCAGGTGTAACTTGGAGTTATGTGAGTTTTCTGCGGACTATAATTACCATTCAATAATATGTCTCTGTTTTATGGTTGATGCCAACTTTGATTTATAATCCCATAAAGGTTGATCAGTAGCTTTCCTTCCTGTTTTCTTTCTCTCGTTAACCTTTTTTTTCTAAAATTTTTTCCTTAGAAGAATGTTTCCATATAGAAAAGTGAGGAGGGGGTGATCTCTTTGTGCGTGTGTTTTTTTCTCTACACTGTTTGAAAAATGGAGGAGATGTGTAAAACAATGTCAGAGCAAAGAGAAGAATCAAATCGTTTTTAAGGCACGCATTACCTCCCTCTGAGTTACGCTATTCAGATAATACCATGTTGACTCTGAATTGTACCAGAGTACCTGTACGGGTCAAAAAGTCAGGAGAACCTGATTCTAGTCTTGACTGGGCTATTAACTAGGGGGACACCTTGCTCAAGAAACTGCACTGCTCTGGGTCTTATTTGAAAGATGGTGGGATAGGAAGGATATTGAGTGTGTGGCAAGGAGGAGTGGAGAGGCTTTAGTTATCAAAGTGTTGGAGCATCATTCAGGCATTGAGGAGATTGGGGTGAAATGCTCCAACCATATTTGCCTTAGGTTCTTGAATAACTGATACATTGTTGAGTCCCATCTGCCCTCCAAACCCTTTGAGTTATTTTGATAATTTCCTTATCCCTGCATAGATTGAACGGACTCATGCAAGGATTACTGCAAGACCTTTAAAGGGAGATCTAATGGGATTTTATGGATTTTACTTAAATGGATTTTAATGGGATTTTCAGAAAAGGAAAATTAGTAAGTAAGTAAGTGAAAAGATGTTTACTATTTTTGGCCAGGATATTCTATACCGATGCTGATACCACTTTAAAAAGGAAAGTATTTTCTGCCTGCTGTGGACCCTTCTGAGGTTCCTCAATAAATTAACACAAGGTTCCCTGGGAGTCTGGTCTCTCCATCCTTCTCCTCATGTCTTCCAGAGAAAGAAAAATATTTATTCTGTATTTTTTTTTGCCTCATCATTCTTTCTTTTTGATGAATGTATTAGTTGCATTCCTTAGACTTGCAAGGAGGAGTCGTGCCCAGATCAACTTTAACAGAGGCTTATTTCAGGCTAGGCGGAAACATGGGCTGGCACACAATGCTTCCTCTTCCTCAGCGGTGCAGTCTGTTTGAGTGGAAAGTATGCAGCTGGTCACAAAAACCACCTACCGTTCCTGGGGGTTCAGCCTAGGCTCCGTCTAGGACTCGGTAGTCTCCAAAGAGAGGATGTGAGTGGGTGGAACTGGATCTTCTCATCGCGATGCTCAAGGACTAGGCAGGTCTGGCCAGCCCCTCCGTGACACTTGACCTTCTTCATGTGCAGTCAGCTGCTGACCCTGAGCTCCGTCAGTCACGGCTGGGTTAGCAAGGATGGCTCATCAGATGCACACAGCATGAGCCAAGTCACCCACACTCAGAAAGAACCCTCTCTGGGGCTGCTTTCCTCCGAGGGGGGCAGTGGGTGTCGGCAGCTTCTCAGAGGTTTATGGACTTTTTGGTGCACTGAGTTATTAACTCTTGTGTTAACTTTGAAAATTACATCAGAGCAGCAAGGACTCGTATGAGCAGACTTTCTTGTTTGTTTGTTTGTTTGTTTCTTTGTGGGTTTCTTTTGCGGTACGCGGGCCTCTCACTGTTGTGACCTCTCCCGTTGCGGAGCACAGGCTCTGGACGCGCAGGCTCAGCGGCCATGGCTCACGGGCCCAGCCGCTCCGCGGCATGTGGGATCTTCCCGGACCGGGGCACGAACCCGTGTCCCCTGCATCGGTAGGCGGACTCTCAACCACTGCGCCACCAGGGAAGCCCCCTGAGGTTAGTTTTAATCTCATATATCCCAGACTCGGAGCCGAAGAAGCTTGCAACCTGGATATGGCACAGAACCCCAACAAAGCCTGCTCTCTCTCTAGCCAGAGGAGGAGGGAAGGGACGGCATAGCAAGGCAGAAAACTTCCAGCCAGACAACACAGAAAAACGGGCTCCCCACCACCCAGGCCAGCAAAGACTGTGAGTGGGAAGCCTAGACTCCCCCTTTGCCAGGAGTAACAAGGGATTCCAGGCTCTCCAGCTAAGAAGAGTGCAGGGACTTTCACCCCTGCCAGCTGGTAATGAGCCCCCTACCCCCTTTCCCTTCCGTGGGGAACTGAGTGTGTTCTTCCCCAGGTGTCCTGAACAGCATCGCCCCTGTGACAAAGGCCAGTGAAGGTGGAGCAGAATCCTCTGTCCCTGCACCTATGGGTGGGACCTGAGGGCATGTGGTGGCTGCTTCTCCAACATGTTGGGGTGCTACTGACCTCATCAAGCATCTGGGGTCTCCAGTACTGCCCCAGAATCCTCTTCCCCCACCTTCCTACATCCTCATTCTTGTCCTCATCCCCAGCTGCTAAGGGATCTGTCTCCTTTGTGTTCACAGAAAGTTAGGTTCAAAGCCAGGTGAGTATCCTCTTATGGGCGGCTGTAAATGTACTAGTTAGCTTGTCAGGCTTGTGTGCAGCCTTTTCTCCCCCTCTTTAAGGGAGGGAGGCTGGGGTCCACACATCATTTGCATTTGATGGCATCATTCAGTCTCTATGACCCCTTCTCCCTTTTGCGCTCCCTGCCTCTCCTGTTCCTCTGGAGTAATGTATAATCTTTTATTTTTCCTTGGTGATTTCTCCATGAAAGTATGATTTAGATTGCAGTCTCCTGAGACCCCTTGGCCCCTGCCTACCCTCTGCACCCGTGGAGGCACTCTCCTAAAGTGCTTGAAGGAAACTGATCAGACCAGATACGTGACATTTTCCACTTGTTCTTTTGGAGCAGTCGACTCCAGGCCTCTTATAAGGAGGGAACAAGGCCAGAAGCAAATGCATGTGTTTGCATAAGCATTAGTAGCTCAATGTGTGCCCTGGTTCTGTAGCTGAGGACAAGCCTAACTTATTCATTTACAGCTTCTTTTATTGCAGAAAAAGGAGTGGACGTGGGATGAGAGCAAGATGCTGGTGATGCAGGACCCTATCTACAGGTAAGAGCCCAGTCCCCAGGGTACACCTGTCCACTCTGGGAGCCATCTGTTGGGTTGGTGCGTCCAGACAAATTAAAATAAATTTCTCCTTTTTCCCTCCTGAGACCTGTTATTTCTGTAGATGTAAGTACACGGAGCAAATCTGCTCTATCTTTAAGAAAGAGAGGAAAATTCTTCTAATGCTCAGTAGCACTAAGGGAACTATGAAGGATTTCTGCTTGATGTTTAATGCAAGTCTTTTAGTTGTCACTTGAGGCCTTTTCATTTTGTGCTAGATTTATTTTAACGGGAATTTTTTTCTCACTTTTTTTTTATTTAACTGAAATTTCATAATTGCATATATGTTGATAAAAATGAGAGAACTGGGTTTTCCCGTTACGCTATACTTATAATTCCCCACAGTTATCTGTTCTTCCTTGCTGCCCCTTCAGAAACTGAGCATAGATAAGGGGGTTATGATCATTTGGGACAGCAGAAAGTCACATATAAAATCCGTAGAAACGGCTTTTACAATGAGACTGGTATTCCTATTCAGATTAGATGACTGCCGTTCATGTGTACTCTCTGGGCAGAGGGATACCTGTTAGCAATACATACAGAAAGCCAGGGCCCTCCTGGGACCCACGCAGGGCCTTGATTCATCTGTGTCCTTCTTCTGTCCTAAATCTCCGCTGACCAAGCCCTACCCCACCTCTTACTCCTTCCTGTTTTCTTCACTGGGGGGAAAGGGGTATTAGCTATTCTTTTGGGATTTGGGGGTTGAGATTTAAGTTTTGATTCTGTCTACTCTCAAATTACTTGCCTTGGTTGCCAAAGTGAATTAAGGTTGGAGCTCACCTGAGAACTTGGCATCGTGGTGGCCCTGCTAAGTCAAAGAGTAGCTGCCTGTGAAATGGAATTTCCATTCATTCACATATGTATACATATTTAGAACACTCATCCCAGGTACTGTGCTAGGTAATTTAGTAGATGGCGAAAATAAGTTATGGTCCCTTGTTCTCAGGAAGCTTTAGTCTAGTAGGGAAATGGAGTCCTGAACAAATCATTGTGGTACAAGACAGTGTGTCTGACAAAATGGATTTCTTTCTCTGTGTTTCTGTTGCACTTGTGTTTGTTGAAATACTTGTTATAGTTACTGCTACTTCAAAATGAATCTGTCTTTTGCCACTGGGCTGTGAGGCTCTTGCCAGTGAAGAACTGTGTTCAACTCACTTTTGTATTTCTAGCACCAAGCCTGTGTCTGTTCTCTATGAGGCATTTAGTAAATGTGTGATGGGTGGATGGATAAATGTATTGAATTAATATCTGAAAATTAACGTAAGTGGTATGGTGATTCACAGGAGGGAATAATCACTTTCTACTTGAGTGATAACGAAAGGCTTTAAGAAACAAGTTGTGTCGGAACTGGGCTTGAAGGATGTGAATGGACAAAACCTCTATCATTTGCGCTTTGTAAAAGGAAGTGTTTCTTGTTTTTTTTGTTTTTGTTTTTATTTTTTTACAGTGGCATCATATCCATACAAAAGCGACCTCTGGGTGGGATGGTGGTCATGAACTTTAACCTTGCCTTTTCCTGGTTTGAAAGAAGGAACTTTCCCCAAAGTTTTATATCCCAAATAAGCTGTTGTTTTTATTTTTTATAACAGCTTTATTGAGGTATAATTGACATATAAAAATTGAGCATATTTAAAGTGAATAATTGGGTAAGTTTTGATATATGTGTACACTTCTAGAACCATCACCTCAGTCAAGATACTGAGCATATGTCTCCCCCAGAAGTTTCCTTGTACCCTGTTGTAATCTTTCCCTCTCTCCCTCCCTGCTGCATCTCCCTGCTGCCCCCCAAGTCCCCAGGCAACTACTGACCTCCCTTCTGTTAGTAGAGATGAGTTTGTGTTTTCCTGAGTTTTGTATAAACAGAGTCATACAGTGTACAGTGTACGTATGTACAGTATACCCCCACTGTTTTTTGGTCTGGCTTCTTTCATTTAGCATATTTATTTTAAGATGCGTTCCTTGCCATTGCATATATCAGTAGCTTATCCCTTTTTATTACTAAGTTGTATCCCATTGTATGAGTGTAACACAATTTGCTTAGCCGTTCACATGTTGATGGACATTGTGGTGGTCTCCAGTTTTTGACTCTTACAGTGAAAACTTCTGTGACTGTTCATATTATAGTCTTTGTATAGACATATGCTTTTATTTTTCTTGGGTAAATACCCAGGAGTAGAATGAATGACTGTTTGTTAGGTGTACGCTGAACTATTTTTTTTAAGTGAATTTTAAGTGATTATCTTTTTGGTTAGTGAATCTCGGAGTGATTTTTAAAGTGCGTCTCTTTATTTTTTTTAATTTTTATTTATTTATTTGGCCACGCCCTGTGGCATGTGGGACCTTAGTTCCCTGACCAGAGATGAAACTTGCTCCCCCTGCAGTGGAAGCGTGGAGTCTTAACCACTGGACCGCCAGGAAAGTCCCTGTTGAACTTTCTATGAGACTGCCAAGCTGTCCCGCTAGTGGTGGTTGAGAGTCCCAGTTCCTTCACATCTTCGCCAACATCTAGTATCATCAGTCTTTTTATTTTTAGCCCTGCAAGTATGTGTGATGTAGTATATCCTTGTGGTTTTAATTTGCGTTTTCCTAGTGAGTAATGATGCTGAGCATCTGTCCATCGTATGTGCCATTTGTATATCTTCTGTGAAGCATCTGTTCAAATCTTTTAGCCCATTTTTAATTGGGGTGTTTTGTTTTCCTTTTATTGAATTTTGAGGGTTCCTGATAAATTTTGGATACATGTCCTTTATCAGATATATGATTTGCAAATATTTTATCCAAGTCTGGCTTGTCTTTATCTTAATAGTGTCCTTTGAAGAGGTTAATATTATCATTTTTTAAAGTGTATGGGTTGTGCTTTTGGTGTCATATTTAAGAAATCTTTGCTAACTCAAGGACACAAAGGTTTTCTTCCTGTGTTCTCTTCTGGAAGCGTTATAGTTTTAGGCTTTACGTTTAGGTGTATGATCTATTTTGATCCAATTTTTTTTATATGGTGTGAGGGATATATCAAAGTTCTTTCTGGGGGTTTTTGTTTTGTTTCAGTTTGGGGTTTTTTTGGCAAATGAACGTCCAGTTGTTCCAGCCTCATTTGTTGAAAAGACTATTCTTTCTCCACTGCAGTACCTTTGTTAAAAATCAGTTATCCACATCTGTGTGGTTTGTTTCAGAACTCTTTATTCTGTTCCGTTTATCTAATTGTCTGTCTTGACACCAGTACCACAGTGTCTTGATTGCTGTAGCTTAATAACAATCATTGAAATCAGGTAGCCTCACTCTTCCAACTTTGTTCTTTTTCAAAGATTTCTTCCAATTAGTATTAGTATGGTATATCTTTTTCCATTCATTTTTAAGAAGAAAAATGGGTTTTGGTGGGGAGTAGAAAACATCAAAGAAATCTTAAAGTGAATTTTTCTTTGGCCAACCTCCACGCAGCAGACTTTCTGGTTGTAGATTTCTTGTGGATATCTTCCTAATCTATCAAAATTTAGCAACCTGTGTTTATGAACAAAGGAATGCTGTTCCAGTTTCCTAGATACTTTTTCCCCCTCATGTATTAAATTGTGGGTGTTTTAGTCTCTGTATGTGTGTATTTTGTATATCTATTTGCTATGGGTAGATGAAAGAGGACTTTTTTCTAAACTGTATGTGTCCCATTTTATCATCAATAAGAACATTTATTATAATGATAATACAGTAACATTTACAAGTGAGCTTTTTCCTGGCTACAATTATTTTTCTGCCCTTAAGGAACCACTCTAGTTGGATTCAGTAGCACTGCCGAAGAATACGTAGTTGCTGTGCCTTTGATGAAACACAGGATTACTGCAGCGTTCACATTAGGAAAACTCGTTTATGGTAAAACATATTCTTCCTAGTCAAAAGAAGGGACTTTGCCACAGCAGTAATGAAGTTTTTGTTTTTTATTAAGTCAAAATTTCAATTTGAGTCTTCTGCATCTCTCACCTAGAATAATAAAATCATGTTTTTTTAATTGTGATGAGATATATATAATATAAAATTTGCCATTTTATCCCCTTTTAAGTATACGGATGAGTAGCCTTAATTACGATGACAGTGTTGTGCAACCGGAAGCACTGTTTCCAAGATGTTTTCATCGCTCTAAACTTTGTACCCAATTATGTACAAACTCCTTATTCCCCCTCCTTGAACCCCATGTAACTTTTAAAATCATGAACTTTAAGAGGTTAAAGTACTGTGGTGAACATCTAGTCCATTTTCCCCTCCATTACAGGATGCCTCTGTTTCTCTAAAGTATTTGCTATTATGGTCTTCTTTGTTATGTGAAGGCAAATGTCTTTGTTTATGTAATTTTCGTCCATTTATCCTAGCTCCCTTCTCTGGAGGTACACACACATAGATCTTATTTTGCTAAAGTTTCTGAAGCCATTCTTTATAACATTTTTTCTAGACTTCCTAATCTCAAAACATCATATTTCTTCATAATATGTGTTGGAATTTAATACAATATCTCATGCTGTCTTATCAGTGTAAATTATAGAGACACAGTTTTACCCTCATGATACGGAGCTTTGCATTTGTTTTTTAAGAATTAGATCATAGTGTATTTTTATTTGTTAAACAAACTGTGTTAGGTCCTAGGTCGTGGTGGATTTATTGTCCAGAATCCTTAGGATATTCACAGTAATTGCTTTCAATCAAGATTTTTAGATCATTCTTTATTTCTGTAGTTTGCTCTGTTTTATTTTTTAGCCTAAATACAGAACTTTACATATACCATTGTTAAATTAGATATATTTCATTTGAACCCATTATTCATAGTTTTTGGATTCTTATGAATCAGAGTGAATCAGGGAAGCAGGCAGCTATGAGTGTTACGGCATAAGGAATTTGTTTATAGGATTTAGACCTACACAGTTGTGATAGGAGCTGGGAAGTAAAAGTCCAAAAACGACCAGAGA